GGGGGGGGGCGCAGGAGAAGTGAGCTCCCAAATAAATGTAGTTACTTACAAAAATAATTACACGTGACCGCACCGACGACAGACGACGACGAGAACGCCGCCAGGACCCAATACAAGCAGAGCCTCATGAAGAGACAAAGTGTGAAGGAAAGGCGGAAGCCCGTCATGGCAGAGCAGCTAAATGCGAGAGAGGGGCTGGAGGACGGAGGTGCCGAAGCAGGAGACTAAGTAACAGCACACGTCAAGAGGGAGGTGGTTGTGCGCCACGGGCGCTGTGCCTGGACTTTCGGTGATGGCTAGTACTCTATTATTAACTAATTATTGCGATCGTCGTAGTCGATAATCATCGGTCGGAGTATGTTTTTTTTTCCCATCACCGTCATCCATGAGTATGCTTTTTTCCCATCACCGTCATCCATGTCCCATCGTCGTCGTTGCGGTCATTTCCGTCGCCATGGTCATCATCGTCATCATTATCAGCAGCACGACAAAGACCATCCCTCTATCCTATCTCCCAGCGTCAGCAGCAGCACCTTGACCAAGTGCATCATTCCCCCCAAGGTCGATTATCATTGCCAATCATTGCACTCGTGACCATCAGGCACGTGGCAGGTTGTCACCGTTCTCAACGCTAATTCTCCATCGCCGGTATCGGACGCCCAGCTGGTCGTACGGAACCGGGTAGTTCCAGACGTTTGCCCCGCGTTTCATCCTGTCCTGTTGTCCCTCGACGAGGCGCATGTCTTCCGCGAGAACCTGGTTGGCCATGTGCTGCCATAGCCGATCGACGTACGGCACGTACTTGGCCCATTTAGCGAAGTCGAGACTCATGCGGTACAGGAGACGGGTCTTACCTCTGCTGGAAGGCACGCAGACGTGCAGCTGGTGTAGGTGTTTCTCGCATTCGTGCGCATTCTTGCCCTCAAGTTTGCCCGGCTGTGCGAGGCCGATGGAGGACAGCACCATGCAAGGGGGGCGGAATTCCATGTCGATGGGGTAGGGGTCCCAGTGGCCGCGCAAAGCGGTGGCGGCCATCGTCTTGAACTGCACTAGGTTCGGGATCGCCCACCCCTTAGCGAAAGTGGTGGTATGGGTGAACGGAGCGTGCGCAAGATCGAGGAGGTTCTCGACTAGGAGGCCGTGCTCCACTGGCACGTCCACGACGATTTGCGCGTGAATGGTGTAGCCCGGCGGAGGCTGACAGCTGGAGATGTGCGCGGCAGGTGTGTCGCTACCTGGCCACACCCATATCATTCCGTCCTGTTCCACGCAGGGGAGCGACCTCACGCTAACCCGCGAGGGCGTCGTCGAGGGCATCCTCTCGCACGATCCGGACGTGGAATACTCCCAGCCGTGATAAGGGCACTGCACGCGGCCATCGACCACTTTCCCCAAGGAGAGCGGACAAGCGCGATGAGCGCACTCGTCGCGCACGCACCCGATACGCCCCTCCAGATTGCGGAAGAGCACCCATGGCTCTTCGAAGCAATCAAAAGGCAACAGAGTCTTATCGTCCACGTCGGCGGAGAAGGCGACAGGATACCAGAAATTCCGCAGCCCCACGTAGGGCTTCGGCGGGCCCGAGACATCCAGCCCCTTCTTCTTTCGCTGGGGGCGAGGCCCCGCCGGCGCCACCGCCACAACGCCGCCTCCTGTCGACGATGACGAGGACGCCACCTGATCGTCCGCCAGCGGGGTTTCGGATCGGATAGAGCCGCGAGGATTCGCATCATCAAGGGAGGAAGGGGAATCAGCGGAGGGGCAATAAGCGTAGGAGTAAGGTTGAGCCGATCTGACCGGTGACCCTGAGGGGAATGGAGACCCAGCGCCGTCGATCTCGACGTCGTCCAAAATGCTCTTCTTCCTACTCCTCATGTCCGCTCCTGTCGCCGAACCCATTGGCAAGGAAGACGGCAAGTTGGCCGCCATCTTCCCCTCCGTCCATGCCGCTCCCATCTCCTCCTCCTCCTCCTCCTCCTCCTCCTCCTCCTCCTCTTCCTCCATGATGTCGTTATCCTCACCGTCGCCCTTCTTGTCGCCCTCGTGTTGTATGGCTACCATCATCTGTCCCTCTGTCGATGTCTGGTCTATCTTCACCGCTGCTGCCTCTTCCGTGCCACTGCTCTTTATCACCCTCGCATAAGATTCGTTCATCAGCGCCTCCATCGCCAGCAACCTCTGCATTGTATGCTCTACTCTCGCCTCCGACACGTGAACCTGGTCGTGAGCTTTGGCCAAGTCGCCCTGCAATTCTGTCAGCTGTTCCCTCAGCGTCGATATAGACTTACTCTCCCGTGCTACCGGGTTCAGCACCTCCACGACTCTGTCGTGCGCCTCCTTTATGGCATTTACGTCTTGTCTCGCGCGCCAGTCCAGGTAGTGCACATCGTTGCGCAACAGATCCCAGTGGCTAATCGGCGAAGAAGAAGGGGAAAGGCTTGGGGGCGATGGCGGCAAGCGCGGGGGAGCGGCGGACGTCGCCCCGGCTTCTCGCCATCCTCCTGCTCCACTTTCCCCTCCGCCGCCATCGCCACCACGTTTCCTGCCGTTGCTCCCCGCGTCTTTTGGCGCATAGCCATGGCCATCGCGCGCCGAAGCTCTCACGGAGTGAGACCGCCTGCGGTACGCCCTCTGGCTCTTCTCCCCTCCCCCACCTTCCCAACCCCTTCTTGATCGCCACGGGGGTAAGTGCTGGCTTGCAAGGCCGAGGCTCTCGCTCTCCTCGACGCGCACCCAGTTTTCCAGATCCACGTGTCTCACGCACAGCCCTTGAGCCGCTGCCAGGATCGTCCCTCCCCCTCTGGGAGGGGGTGGCTTGGCACACCTCAGCCCGCCGGTGGATGCACCTAGAACCAGCACATTGTACGTGATGTTGCCATTCTGCGAATCGAGGGAGCGGGACACAACAGCCCGTCGTCTCGCCCTGAGCGCCGAAGCGTCCGTCCCCAAGCCGGCCGGAACGACCGTCAGGCTGTCAGTAGAGCAACCTCCACCGCAGTATGCAGCGGTCGCTGAGGAGGAGGAGGAGGAGGAGGAGGAGGAGTCGAGGCAAGCGGCCCGCACCCGATGCTGAACACAAGTCACGTCCGCACGGAAGGCGCTAGCTGTCATGCAGACGGCGGTGCTTGGCGCGCTTGCCATGGCTTTCAAATGATGCAGCACGGGGGTCACCAGCAGCCCCCTGCCTCTTTTCCTTCCGCCCCTCCCCTGGCAGTTTCTCTAATCAACGATGCGAGCAATGGTGGCATTCACCCGCCTGCTGCTGAGTCCACCAACCAACAACACCTCGTCTCTCCTCCTTCTCCTCCTCCCCCACCCTTCCACGGTTGGAATAGACCTCGGGTTCGCTATCTGTGTGGTTGGTTCCTTCTCAGGTTTTCCTGCGAAGCTGGGCGAGTTGAAAAGCCCTGTCCATGGGCGCACAAGAACCCTCCACCGGGGCCCCATTGCAGCCATTGATTCTAGTCCATGCACTTTCTTTCTTCCGGCGTGCGAAGCTCCGACAAGGCGTCGCGCGCGTGCAGTCCATGCGCTTACCTCACATATTCGAGTGTTTTTCATTGGCCGTTTCCTGCCATCGTTTGAAGGGTTTTAAACAGCCTCGCCGTATTGGCCAGCAGACAGTGAAGATTGCCAGCATGGAGGATGGATAAACTCAGCCGGGCCGTCGATCCGTAATCTAGGGGCCCATGCCACTAACTTTGGCCGACGTGATCTGCATGGCAAGAGGGAATAGAGAATCATGCCACAGAAAGAGCTGATTCGCAGTCATAGGGCCTCGCCGCACGACTCAGCAAATCCACAAAAGACAAAAATTATGGCCGTGCACCTTTCCATGTTTTAGGAGAACATACATTCCCATGTTGCACATTTTTTGTGAGTGGTGCGGCGAGGCCGATAAACATAAAACTTCTTTTATTTTTTTAAAGATCGACGGCCCATTCAAGAGGTACCCGTTTGTCCAGAAGCAGTAGATTCTGCTTCGTGTGCCTTTCCTTTTTCTGCCGTTTTTTTCTCACAAGCTTTCCCTTTTTGTCTGGCCCCTTCAAATACAACGCCAGGCCGAGGACCATGTCTGGTGGTATCACTGTGCGGTTTGGGTTTCTGAGGTCACAATCGCAGTAGGGTGCGAAGGACTTCTTCACTGAAGTTCAGCCATATTTGGGGCCTGATACGTCAAAGAAATTCCGGGAGTAGTGAGTATGCCCCCAACTTATCTGCTTTTTGGGTTTCTTTCTCTCCCATAGCTTTGTGAACCCCCATCACATGACCCACGACAAGGTCCCTTCGACTCTGTTAGACACTGCTTATCGACCTCCTTCCACACCACAATACCACACTTGTTCTTCCTTCCACCTAACCTAGACTCTGCCTTGAGCCAGAAAGGTGCAGGTCCATCATTGAACCAGGACCAGTGCAGGTGAAAAAACCCAAAAAAACATCCAGGAGCTAACACAACCTGCGATGGCAGATAACTACCTTGTGGGAGGCTCCCGCCGTTTTGTAGAATTCTCTGGTCAGTTCGGGGAGGTGAAAATCTGCCCGATTTGCGTGGGCCACACAAAACTCCAGTGCGGGGGAACCGTGTGACGAACTACTTCCCGAACCTGTGCTATCTTTCGTACCCCTTTGGTTCAAATTTTTCTTGTACCATACCAACCCTACGAATACCCTGTTTGTTTTCTTGATTTTGGGTGCCGTGTTTTTGGCCCCCGTTTTGTCGGAAGCTTGGTTGATTCTTGAAATTCTGCTTTTTGCAATTCAGGAAATGCACGGGAATTTACACGCGCCTTAGCGAGCGCACTGGGAATTGGGCCCGGCAGTTGGGAATTCCGGGATAAGCGGAAATTCGACGTGTCCTTTTTGTGTGTGAATGTTCTCGGTCGCGTTGGGGAAAACTCTCGGAATTTTGTGGGGATACGAATAGGCGTAGGACTTTCTTTTCCCGCGTCGCTCTTTCACGCGCGGATATGATGATTTCAATTTTGAATTGGTTTAGGACGTAGGCAAGCTGTAACTGTTTCGGTGCCTTTTTTTCTCTTTGTTGTTGACGGCGCCGCGCATGCAAGGCTTTCTCCTCTCTGTCCCCCGCATCGCTCTCTCCCGCGCTCCTTTTTCCTTCCCTCTCATCTTTCTCTCTCCTCGT